TTAAATTGACAAAAGGGTAAAGTGCAATAAACCCTCCTCAACTATACCCCAAGTGCAACTAACCCCCCTCAACTATAAATAACCCCCCTCAACTATGGTCTTGGTGTAGTCTTAGGACAGAGAAGGTTTTTCCAGTCATCTCCATTCAACGGAAATTAGAAAAGTCAATTTTACCCCTCTCATAAAAAGGGTGCCACTTCACAATCAAAACGCCACCGTTTCCTTCAACAACTTAAATGAAATTAAATAAATTTAATAACCAATTATATGGTGACACCTCATATAACTTAAAATAAAAATTAGTTTTATAAGATAATACAAGCCATATATATATATATATATATATATATATATATATACATACAGAGAGAGTGTGTAATAGAAGGGTTAACCCAACCAAGTTCTTCCTAGCAAATTAAGGAAGGCGAAGTAGTGGCGACAACCAACAAACCCGATGACAACAAAGAGTTGGCAAGGAATATAACAATGACATATTTGGATGGCCACAGTAGGAATCAGTCCAGTAGTAACAACGGGAAAGGCTTAACCAACTATGATAAAAGGCCTGATCAACGTCGATGGCGATGGTTGTGAGAATGTTGTGTGGTGTTTCGATGGCGAGACCCGTCAACTTGGTTGTTGTAGCGGCAATGGTTTCAATTAAGGTTATGTTAATTATATGTGTTTTGCGATGATGGGGTTATGAAATTTTCGAATGGGTTTGCTAGGTAATCAACCACAAAGATATTGATGGAGTTTTGCGATTGGGTTTTGCTGAAATTCAAGAAATCGAAATTCAAATTTCAATTTAGAGGTTGGGTCTGTACTGTAACTCATCGGATTAAGCTATGATGTTTCCGTTCTGAACTGAAACTCTCAGGTCTGGACTGAACTTCACTGAGCGGTTGGTCATTATTCTAAACCTTTTCTGATTTGGGTCACTGAAATTCTCAGATGATGATCGTCTCGTTTTAGCAGTGACCTTTCTATCTTAGATCACGTCGGTCGGTACCTTATTCTTCTTCAACTAGGACTTTGGCGACGACCTGGTATATCCCATAGATGACGGTCGCTGTCCTCTATAGCTTGCTGGGTCACTACAGTAGCGACCCATCCTCCAACATGTAGCAACCCAAAGGTCGTTACCATCCATGGCGAGAACCAAGTCAAAAAAAAAGACATGGTCATATTCTTTCACGGCGACACAAAAATCGCCATGGTGTTCCAATCAAGGCTGTCACTGAAGTTGATGGTGTAGACGCCGCTCTCGGTTTGGTGCAGAGATGAAGCTCTGCCTAGTCTTCAATGGAGATAGAGAAAAGAGAGAAAATTGGGTAAAGAGGATAAAGAGAAACTAGAGATTTTGGGGTGAATGTGTAACAATTTGTAACAACCCAAAATTAAATACCAATTATTAAAAAAATAAAAAATAAAAAATTCGGCATGACCTGTGCTAAAAAGGGTCCTACAACAATCTGCTTAAATACAAAAAGATATGCAATGGCCTCTCATGGACCTTCAAGACTTATCCAACCTGTCCCAACACATAATACAAATAATACATTCCAGCACCCCTTTCGAGTATTCATTATACCTCAACATAATTCATCTCATAGTGGAACATCCACATACCATTTAATCCAATTATCATAATTACAGTCCAAAAAATATATGGGTAAGATCTAAAGTCCATGTCTTACAACGTTTAGACAACTTATACTAAAGTTATAGCTTATAAATATAATTACAATAACAAGAGTCCACAAATCTCTATACCGAATATAACAAACTAAGGTTTTACAAAAAAATATGGGACTTAGATACAAAAATAGCAAAATGGTCTTCTAATCCAAATTAGGCCTGTGGTGGAACGTTATCCGCCACTTCTTTCCCGTTTCCTGAAAAAAATATTAAATATAAGGGGTGAGCAAAATTGCTCAGCAGGTGGTGCCTAAGACATACCTCTTGTGGCCCCGTGAATCCAAATAATGAATTATAGAGGATAGGGGTCATGCTATGCCAGAAAAGAATACAACATAAATTCCAATTTCAAATAAACAATGCCATGCCATGATATGCAATGTCATGTATGTCGCTTCTCATTTTCAAAATCATCCATCATTTCACAAACTGTTAATATAACACGTCCTTTCGTAACTTTGCAGTGACATGAGAGAAGGGTTGGCTATTGTCCCTGACCCTTGGTACCCCTGTGGCGTCATTTGGGACCCATCTAGCTCAACCACGCTAAGTTATTTTCCCCTAATTCTCTCTAGGTTACATTAACACACCAGCCCTTTGGTAACTCCGCGACGACCGGGTTTTCTTAAAACCATTCAATCAAATTTCTCCAAAAAATCCCCTTTCACCTTCATTTCAAAACACTTTGCCCTTTTCATGCCCAATGCTATGAACGCATGTTACATAGTTTTATTTATTTTTATTTTTTTCAATAATATGAGAATATAAAAAATTCACACTACACAATTTAACATACTCCTTTATAACAACTTCTAGAGAATTAATAGACACCGTAGGCATGGAAATTAACAACTAAGCATACTTTTCACATAATTTCATCAACACATATAAGTATAGTTTTCAAATACAACAACTATATCATTTTTCAAGACAATCAATTCAAATAAAGCATGTTTTCCATGTAAATCAGCAATTACACATAATTGAATGCTTCATAAACACAATTAAATCATTTAAAAAATAATCAACTCAAATTAATCATGCTTAACAATAATTAAAGTTGAAAAACTCATAAATGAGCAAGAAAGTGAGGATTAGAGACCCCTACCTCAAGATTATGCAAAACCCCCAATTTGTGCCCTAGATTTCAACTCTTCTAAAGTGTATCAAACACGAAATTACTTCGATCAACTTATAGATCTCGTCGTGGGCTTCAATTTGCCGCAAACGGCTCTTAAAAATACTATGGATTGAAGGAGAGATCAAACTTTGAAGATTTGAAGTAAAAAGAAAAAAGAAAAAGAAGAGAAAATAAGAGGAAGAGGAAGAAGGGGAAGAGAAATGAGAGGTTTCTATGACCTTTTGGCCTTTAAAACTGCTAATGATGGGTCCCACAAAAAATTTAATTTATTTTCCCCCTTTTTTTATTTTATTTTTTTTATTTCATTATACACCACACACATACATATAATAAATCACAACCATACACTACACATTAAATAAAATAAACATGACGCAAATGGACCCTACCAACACTCCCGTGCATGACAACACCGGTAGCGGGTCCCACACGGTACCGTCCGGCCCGAAAAACTGAAAAATGCTAAAATAAACACATTTGCATTTCAAAGAGTTCTGAACTCAATAAAATGCTCCAAACAACTCACCGACACACCTGGCACACCCCACAGTGTCCGGCACGTAAAACGAAAAAAGACAAAAATGCCTCTGCAACGACAAAATTCCAGAAAAATAGAAAATTGTGAAAATCGGAAACATCACACAATCTGTATAATATAAGGGTAATATGGTATTTTTGTATGATAAGGGTTGAATGGTCATTTAATTTAAATATGGGACTTAGGGACTCAATTTAACGGCTAAAAAAATTGCAGGTGGTCGGATTGGGTAAATTGCCACCAAACCCTTAAGTTGAGGTGGGTTAAATGCTACTTTAGAAATTCAAGGGGGGTTTTGTGCTCATTGGGATATAGTTGAGGGGGGTTTATTGCACTTTACTCTTAACAAAATGACATTCTTTTATAATTTTTTAGAAAATAAATGGTGGCAGTGGCAATGCTGGATAGTGGTGGACGTAGAAAGCGGTAGTAGTGTAGGTGGTGGTGTTGGAAGGTGGCAGTGGTGTTGGTGGAAGGTGGTGGTAGTAGTGGTGGAAGGAGACAGTGGTGGAACCCAATTAAGGTGACTGTGGTGGAAGGTGGTGACGGAAGGTAGTGGAGGTGGCAGTGGTGGAAGGTGGTGGTAACGGTGGTAGCGGTGGAAGGCGGCGGCGGTGGAAGGCGATGCTGAAAAGCGGCGGCGGCGGCGGTGATGCAAGGTGGTAGCGGTAGTGAAAGACGGTGGCGGTGGTGGAAGGTAGTGGTGGTGACGGTGTTGGTGGAAGGTGGCACGGCTGTGAAAGGCAATGGCGGTGGTGGTGAAGGTGTTGGTAGAAGGTGGTGGCAGCGGTGAAAGGCAATGGCGGTGGTGGTGAAGGTGTCAGTAGGCAGCAGTGAAAGTCGATGGCGATGATGGCGGTAGAAGGCAGAGGTGGTTGTGGTGGAAGGTAGTGGTGGTTTTTGGACTTGGAACATGAGAGTTTTTTGGGAAGTTGAATTTTAAAAAAAATTTACTTGAGAATGGATGGTCATTCCATAGGTTTAGTTGTTGAATGGATTTTTATTCCCACTTTAAATTGCATACCAAACATATTATTGTGCTTGTATAATTTATGACAGTGGTAATTTATGAACTTCCGTAATAGCCCCAATATTTTTCCTCCGTTCTTCCGTCCATATTTTAAGGGATGAAAATTTGTAAAAAAAGTAGGATTACTCATTTATCATTTCTCCTATTATCATATCTTTACTTGTCTCCTTTCTACTAGTCCACGAAAGTTTGTTCCTTCCATTGTATCTTCCTTCCATGTCTCTTACTTCATTTTTACCGGACATAGCATTAGGTTTTAATAAAATATTTTAATTAGATTCTTGAAAACCAAGCACCAAAAATAAAAAATATTTTATACACATACAGTAATAATTTTTTTTAATAAAATTTTATACATCAAATATTGTGTATTCTCTTACTTAAAATATATATATATATATATTTCTCTGACTCAATGGTATTAAAAATTGAAGTTCCACTAAAAACATATTGTGAATAATAATTACATTAACTTAAAAAAAAAAAAATTGTGAATTTAATAAGATGTCTAATTTCTACTCGCATCTTTCCTTTCACTGTCTTCTCTGCCCAATTCTTTTTTTATTTTCCTTCTCTCTTACCAAACACTCAGAGAGAAATTTTTACTATATAACGATTTCATTGTTAGCACCTTTAGCACGTATCTTTAGGATCACTAATCTGACGGCCGAGTAGACACACTCACGGCATAGACATTTTACAATTCTAGAAAACAAACGGCGGTTTAAAGTCCGGTGTGTTTGAATAGTAGTGTTGCATAGTCTTCCGAACCAGCGACACTCTGCGAAGAGGAGCAAATATGGCGACGGAATTGGAAGAATTGCTGGGCTTTTTATCATCTCCTTCTCCTCCTGTAAGCCTCACCTTTCTACTCTTTATGCACACTCTAACAAAAACCCTAATTAATATTGTCATACACGCTCGATTCTTCATCATTGGGATTTTTGAGATGTTTATTAAAGTTCATAGACGTTGTTTTATGATTATCATACACGAGATTATTCATCATTATATATGTGTGTGTTTATTCAGGATTATAGACGTTGTTCTGATAAAATTTGTTAGATTTTGTTAGTGAACGAGTTTTGATTTTGGTGGGAAATATATCTCAGGTGAAGAAGGCAGCTGTGGATATTGTTCGGGGATTGACTGGCTCTGAGGATGGCTTGCAATCCCTTTCCAACTACTCCGGTATTGCGCTGCCGTCGTTGTCTTGCCTTTTGGGTGAGAAGAAGGTGCTTCTTGAATTGTGTATTTGCATGTTGATAGACATCAGCATTAGTTTAACATTGAATTTAACAAAAAAGTCGCTTCTTCGGAGTTTGGTATACTATGAAAACCAAAGGTTGAGTATAATGGCCTCATAAAAGATTTAAGCTACTTGACATAATTCGTGTAGCAATGGACTAATTTTGGTAAATGACACGGTCCTCCCCCATTTTGGGTGTGAAAAGGTGCTCCTTGAATTGTGTTTTTGCTTGTTGATAGACATCAGCATTAGTTTCTCATTTTAAAGTTGAATTCAACAAAGAATTCGTGGCTTTGGATTGTTAAGAAAACCAAGGGAGAGTATAATGGCCTCGTAAAAAAAAAAAAAGCTCTTTAACATAAATTTTTTTTTTTTTTCCTAGTTGGGTACTCACACACACTACCTCCACTGAGGTTCGAACCCCTAACCTCCCTTTGGGAAGTAAGAGCCTTATTCCGCTAGGCCACAGGCTTGTTGGTCTCTTTAACATAATTGATGTAGCAAGGGACTAATGTAAATGGCACTGTCCATGTCAAACATGTTTTATTTTAACTTTTTATGGATTTGACTGTTTATGAAAATAGTGGAAGGATAATTGTCATTGATACCTCTCGTTTGGGCTGAACCCATTAATTTTAATGATTGGGACAGGAAAATCTATTGAATTTTGCCTTAATTTTGATGTTTTGATATTGTTGAATGGAAGGCTAAACTTTGGGACCTTGAATTGAAGAAGAGCGTGTAGAGTTATTGACGGTGCTATAATTCTTTATTTGTGTACACTGTGGATTGACTAAATTGGTTTTTTTTACTTTTCAGGAGGTGTCAGAACCCGCAGCGGAAGCTCTAATAAATCTTTCACAAAATTCAGATTCAGCTGCAAAGATGGTTGATATGGGAATAATCAAGACAGCTATGGATTTGTTATACAAGCAAGAGCCTGGCATTACTAGATTGCTGGTTATGCTGCTCGTTAATCTCACACAGTTGGATTCTGGAATTGATTCCCTGCTTCAGGTGCTTACCTTCAGTCATATTGCTGTTACTAATATTTTTCTTTGATTATAATAATACAATCTCTACACATTATTTTTTTACACAATTTTACTTCCCTCAGAAGACTTATGAGTACTAAGCAGTGGTTGGAGACTAAAGATGGATAATTATTTTTCATGGTTTATATTTTTAATGTCTTTTACTATTTTTTACTTCATCTCTCATGTATGGACATATTGATCACTTTTGGTGGGATATATATTTGTCGTGGCTGCTTGTTAGAGTGGAGAAGAGAAGATGCATGGCCTGTATGTCATGAAGCTCGTGAGATCATTCTGTACATCGTCTAATGAAAAAAATGGTGTGTCATGCTTCGTTTCTACTTGAATTTATTTTGATCACTAGTTAAGTATATTTTAATTATGTATAGCAGTTTATGTTCCTTACAACCAATTGTAGCTTCAACGATGTATCAGAAATGCTCCTACTTGCAGCATAACACTGGGCGGTGTATGTATAATTGCTAACAAAATGCTATTACTTGAAGTTGACCATTTGCACGAAGGTTCTTGGTTATTTCACCTTGAGAGTACAATGAAACAACTTTATATGATTACAAAACCTAGCTTTTTCGGTCTTCAGTTTGTGCTGTTCATTACCGGTTGTACAGATGGAGATAATGCATGAAGGACGGTGGAGATCCTGGGAGAATGGACTGGGATTTAATTGAGTCAGCCTTCAGAAATATAGAGAAAGATTGTTAGAGATGGAGAAGAGTCGAGAGAATCCCAGGGTTAAGGTTGTTCTGGTGGTATTCCGGAAGTTCTTTATCATTGAGAATGGTGTAGGGATCATTCCCCATATAAACTATAAACAGGACTACGTCAGTGTGGACTGTGGAGTATTGATGGCTTAGCTAATATACATGTTGGAACATGTGGCTAACTGTAGATACTAACAATTTGTAGGTGAATATCCCTACGCAAAGTGGAGTGCAGTGAATGTGACATTTGGAAAACACCTGTCTTAGATGGGGTCTAGTACCCACAAATTTTAAGTCCTTTAATTTGTACCATTGGCCATTATTATTACCCACACATTTTAAGTCCTCTAATTTGTACCATTGTCCATTATTATATTTTTTCTTATTGTTCCAACAGAGCATAGAACTGACTAATGATGGTTTTTTTTTTGGTTGTGCCTTAGACATATATTCAAGCATAAATACCAGCACATATCACATCTGATTGGATACTCTGGAGGGAACTTATTTCATGGCACTACATATGCATCCCAGTCTTTGTCCTGCATGAAAGATCAATACTTCCAACTTTCTATTTTTCGTGCTGTCACCAGTATGTTCTGACATATCTTTTTCTCTCTAATTCATATCTGTCAGGTGATCCTTTTGAACATGTTGGTTCCATATTGGTAAATATTTCAAAAAGAGAAACAGGAAGGAAACTTTTATTGGATCCTAAGCGAGGACTTCTGAAGCAAATTATTAGGCAATTTGATTCAACAAGTCCATTACGGAAGAAGGGGGTACGTATAAGAGATTGTTTGCAATCACTGAGTTTCTTTTAGAGTATTTCCCATCAACTAAAAATCTAAGCCTCTTTTGCATTGATGAAAATGCCACAGAACAATGAAAATTTGAGTCTTTTTAATTTTAAATTTTATTTTATTTTATTTTTTTTGGGATCAGAAAGTATCGGTCTCCTTTAAGTCTTTTTTCTTTGTCCCCTATGGTTAAGTAGGAATGTGGATCGATCCTTCTGGTGATGCCAGAAGTCGTTTTTGAGCTTAATGGTATAAGCCTGCCTGATTGTGAGACCAACTGATTTGGGCTCAATGAATGTCAAATCAGTCCATCCCCAGTTCACTATGTCCACTAAAATTGTTTCATTCCATTGTGAAATTGGCTGAAGCCCCTGAGAAAATTGATTTTTGTACGGTTTGGTTGAGAAGATGCTTAATGCTTTTATAACTTTTGATTCTTCTCTATATAATCTTAATATTTTTCTCTTTTTGATTGGTAATATTCGAGGCTAGAAATGTTGGTGTGTGATGGTATAAGCCTGCCTGAGTGTGAGACCAACTGATTTGGGCTCAATAAATATCAAATCAGTCCATCCCCAGTTCACTATGTCACTAAAATTGTTTCATTCCATTGTGAAGTCAGCTGAAGCCACTGAGAAAATTGATTTTTGAAAGGTTTGGTTGAGAGGATGCTTAATGTTTTCATAACTTTTGATTCTTCTCTATATAATCTTAATATTTTTCTCTTTTTGATTGGTAATATTCGAGGTTAGAAATGTTGGTGTCTGCAAGGGGCCCTTGTTCTCTGCAGTTGCACAGTGCTTCTTCCGACTGCAACTTAAGAACTTACCTGGACCAACATAACCATATGTTCATGAACCAATATAAGCATATGTTCATTTCTATGGAGATTCTGCTCTTATCTAGGATCAAAATGTAATGGCAGACAGTGTTCTGTTTTGTTGCGGGTGCCGACCTGACCTGTGTTGCTCTTCTCACCCTCATCGTCTGTATGTTGTTGTATTCAGTCTGTCTATATAGAGAATATAAAGAAAAATAATAAATACATATATATGCGAGTTACAAGTTTAAGGCAGCCAGAAGTAGGGACTGAACTTCTCAAGCTACTTGCTCCACTTTCAGATGTGTTGCTATGAGATTGTATACTGCATTGGAAATGATTATACATGATATTAATGCATGGTCCAATATTCAGTCAACCAACCATCATCTCTTGAGTATCCCTCAATATTATATGGGAAAATTCATCCGTCTTAAGGTTCATCTAGATTTGCTTATCTTGAATTCCTATGACAACACAGCCCCATGGATTTGGGGGTATTATCCAATTCTTAACAAATAGGAATTATTTGGAGGAGTTGCTTCAGGATGATATTTGATCACCTCCAATTTTTCATGTACCAAAAAGTTGAGAATATTTTGTTACAGAAGAATAAAGATTATAGCAAATTGCTATTTGAATAATTTTAATCAACTTTCAGCTGCTGTTATTATATTTTGTTCTGCTGCATCACTTTTATTGAGATATTTGTTTGCTCACAGGTATCTGGAACTATTCGTAACTGCTGTTTTGAAGCTGAGAATCAGATACAGAATTTGCTTTTGATATCAGAGTTTCTTTGGCCAGCTCTACTATTGCCAGTTGCTGGCAACAAGGTGACTTTTATTCTTGATTTCCTGAATGTGTACTAATTATATTTATCTTTGGCCAGATAGTGACGAGTTTTTGCTATAACCCAATGTAGTTCCTGCTAATGCAGGGTGGGTACTGACTTCACTTATGGTATTATTATTATGGATTTGAAATTTTACCATTGCAGAAGCACTGGCCATAATTAGATGAAATCATTAAAAATAACTTTGAAATTGCCGAATTTTGCTTCATATCATTTTAGACAGTCACTCATGCTAGGGGCTGTAAATGCTTGCTTGGATTAATTTAGTACATGGAAAAAGCTACGAGTGTTGACATATAACCAAGTCCATCCTTGAGTAAGTACGTATGCCATCTATGATGGTTTAAAAAGCTTCTACTCATATATTATTCTTCATCTATGCTCCTCCTTCACACCCTCCTATTTTTCTTTCTTCCCCCCCCTCCCACTCGAACAAAATTGTAGTTGAGGTGTATCATAAATTAGTTCCTGCAAGTAGAATTCCATCAATAATGTTGGAGTAAACATGAAAAAAAAATTTCACAGCCTAATAACTAATTAAAACTTAAATTCTTTGTCTTTACGAAACTGGAGTAAAGGTTTATTAAAAATTAGTTCCTGGATTAATTTTTACAATTTAAAGGTCTTAGGATTGTTGGACAAAACTAGAATGCCACTTTGACAAGATAGGAGTAAAAGTGAAAAAATAGTTAAATTGAATGCCAATGTCCCATAATTACCTTAAACTAGAAGTTTTTGTTTCTTGGGTCTTTTTATCTATAAGGACGGGATGAGAAGGCTTGAATCAATATAAATTGGATGGATGCGGTAAAGGAGCTCCCTTGATTGTTGAATGTTGTGTGATATCTTAAATTACCTATCAAACTAGATTGAAACTTTTTATTCAATGGAAATGAGGCTAACCCTGGTTTATTGTATGAAATTCTGGAAAGTTTGGATATGAAATGTCCATAAGTGCGTAGCTGAAATAAGAATGTTGGGATGTAGTTGCATGTTGCAATATGAAAAAGTTCAAACAATAATTAAAAATGTTTATTCATGAAATTATTCAAAAATAATTAAAATTGTATATTCTTGAAAATACCATTAGAAGACAAGATGGTGAAACTCCATGTAACAGTAAAATGAATTGTTTATGTCAAATGCGCAACAAAAATTACTGCTGCAATAGCAAGGAGTGATTATTCAAGTTGGAGTCATTACTGAAAGCAAGAAAAAGTGAAAAAGTGAAAATAAGATGGGTTAAGTGAGAGATGGCATAATTGCTTTCCATTTTTACAGAGATACGGCCTCAAATAAAGTTGACTGAACAAAATTGATATGTCACCTACTCCAAGTACTTGGTGTTTGAGGCTTTTTTGAGATGAGCTCAGTGATCCTCTAAAGATTACCTTGCATAGGCCATGTCCGGTTGCTGGAATGAATTACATCAGATTGGATTTATCTCATGGATATATAGTCTATAGAAAAATAATCCTACTGTAAATCTTTGGAGGAGGCTGAGGAGCTTGTTGATCTTTTGGACTCTTTGAGGGTTTAGGGGCCCTATTTGGCCTTGTGTAGTTTTTAAGGGATGCCTTCCCCTTTTGAACACTTTTTATACAATATTTACTTATTAAAAAAAAAAAAAAATGGTTGTACAGGTGATGACAGGATTGGCAGCCGGTTATCCTGTTATTAATTCATTCCTATTAAAAACTAATCAACCTTTGTTTCACTTCTTTATGAGGAACGAATCATATAATTCTTTTTCTAAATTACCTTCTTTCATCTCTCCATAAAAGAGAGAGAGCCTATTTTTGGGAATTTAATTTGACTTAACTAGGATTTAGTCTTGATTAAGGTCCTATCTCGTCTGACAAAATTCATAGTTTTCCCCCTCATGGTGGTATTTTTATCCTGCGTATGGAGGATAAGTTATACATTTTAATTGGTCCAATCCCACTCTACAGGTGCATACAAAAACCAGATAACACTCGTCATATCCCATTATCTTACCTGCAAAATACGCATGGCTATAGTGTACTGATGGAAACTTCATCCAGAACATCATGAAAAGGGTTTTTGCAAAACTTGTAATGATCTAGTTATGCACTTTTGTTCTACAATCTGATCTTCATATTGTATTATATATATTTATATTTAATAAAGTATATCACATTTTGTAAATTAATTTGAAAGTTGTGAAAAAGGTTTTTCAATTTCTTTTTGTGTTTGTATTAAGAGTGCTTTTGATCGTTTTAAATTTGCTCTGAAACTTTCATTTGCAAGTTCTGTATGTGTTTTTTATCTACGAATTCTTGTTCTCGATCAGGAGATTCTTACCATTTGAAATTCTTTCTGCATCCACTCTGGTGGCTTGTGCCAGATTTATAGTGAACAGGACATTTCAAAAATGCCACTCGAGCTTGGGAGTGCACTCTCAATTGAGCGTGAACCAGTTGGTGATCCTGAAATTTGCGTGCAAGCACTGGAGGCTATTTACTTGCTCTCATTACAGGTCAAATTAGTGATGATCAGTTTTTTTTATTTTTCTTGTTTTTGGAACCAACATATGACTAAATTTATGAATAAAATCAGCGGTGAATTCTTATCCATCTAGAACTCAGAAACGATAACTAAAAGTTCAGCTGTTGCTACCAGACTTTAGAAGTACATGTGGAGCTCTTCTTTCATATACAGCCACTATAACATTAGATTGCTATATTTTGGGTCTGGTTTTCAATTGGCTTGTGGATGAAGAGTGTATTAGTATGATTATGTTTATTATTGTTGAAATATGGTCCAAGTATGGATGAGGGAAGCATGAATGGTTGGCATATACGCTAGAAACTTCCAGCAAAATTGAAGTAAATAATGAAACCAATGAGTTTGTTTTTGTTGAACATCACCTTTGTTGTTCTATTGATATATAGAAGTAAATTGTAATGGAAGTATATTTTATTATAAATTATTTTGCATTTATGCCCAGCCTCACAAATCTATTTGTTTGCTGTCCCCCCCTTCTTTTAATAGGTAAGATACGCACACACTCTCACTATTGCCCCAATGGGACTCGACTTGAACACTCCCAACGGGGAAAACTTGAGATAAGGCTCTATAATATGCATTTCCCTTTTAGATGAAAGCCCATATAACACATCTTAAATTCTCATCGCCTTTCAGGAGGCAGGTCGGAGAGCTCTTTGGTCAGTCAATGGACCGCGGATATTACAAGTGGGGTATGAAGATGAGGAAGACCCAAAAGTGATGGCAGCATATGAGCAAATTGGCTCCTTGGTACTGTAAAATTCCTCTCTACCTGACTGTCCTACTTTCTCTTCTGCAAATTATCTTCATTTCATTGTTGCTGTAAATAATGATTGCTCCTTTGATTTGCTAGCTGGTACACGGCAGTGACTCCGGAGAGGGTTCCACTGAGACAAAGTAACGACAATCATGTTCCGTGTTTATTTATAATTTGACAAGGTCTACACGAGTTCAATGCTGGTTTTGCGAAGCCGTCATTGTGAAAGTCAAAAGCTTTGGGTTTTCAGATTAGATGGCGATATCCGATCATCTTTTGTTCTTCATTCTCATCCCTTTCAGGTTTAACCATTAAACCTGGCACAGTAACTTCTTGAGTTAGTTACTATATTGATTTATGATCTGCATTCGATATGGATCATATCCGGATTGAATTTTGTTAAAGAATGTGTACTGCTATGGATGCTCAAGGAATTATCCCTAATGTTGTTGCTCTATAAAAATATCTGCCTTTTTTCTTTTATATATATATATATATATATATATATATATATATATAATGGGTTAAGATATTGTTGTAATGTCTTATTCATTTATGTTGACGGAAGTCTTGAACCAAGACGTAATGGGTGAACGTTTGTCCACTTACTCAAAAACTTAAGCTGTTGGGTAGTGTTGTATATCCACTTATTTATATCCAATCATTATTCATTTATGTTAACGAAAGTCTTGAACCAAGATGTAATGGGTGAGCGTTTGTTCACTTACCCAAAAGCTTAAACTATTGGGTAGTGTTGTATATTCACTTATTTATACCCAATCATTTTTTCATTTAGATTTGATGTGGGACAAATGGCCCTTTGTAACATTCTCCTTCATCTGAACTCGTAACGTTCTCGTTGCGGTTGAGCCACCCTGCTTACCAAGGGTGGCTCACCCGAACGCCTTTTAAGCCGGGCGTGGGTGAGCTTTTGTCCATTTACCCAAAAGTTTAAGCGGTTGAGCAGGGTTGCATATTTACCTATTTATACCCAATCACTTTTTCATCCAGATCCGATGGAGGACAAATGGCGACCATACTGACAAAAATGGTCAGCTAGTTCTGGATCTTCTGGCGTGCTTGTTTCTAACTCATGCTGCTTGATTCTTGATGTTATTTATCTATTTTTTTATTTTTCATTTGCAAAAAATCCTCGAAAACTTGAACCTTCGCCATTTTCTTTAGGAAATAGAAGACTTATGGTATTGTGTGATTCTGAAAGTTATATTACACCGGGCATACTAACCGTACATAGAAATCGTAGTGAGGTTTTCTGCTTTCCTCTCAAGTCTGCATTACATTATTCACCTCCGGTGATGGAGTGAATCTTTACCAAAAGTCCTAACATTCTAGAAAGAATTACTTTCTGAAAACCGATTGAGCAAATGAATCAACCATACCAAAAGCGAATATAAAACAATCCGACCTAAAGAGACCACATAATAAACTAAATACGAAAAACCCTAACAGTCTACTTTCAGAATTCAATGTGTTCTAAACAAAAACAAGAAAAAGATCCAAGAATATACTACAAATCGCATATTCTAGTCGTCGCTTACCGAGTCAGTCTTCAACAACCAAAGTTGATGTTTGTCTTCCAAATGGCGGTAGATTAAACAAAATGAACAAAATTGAGAGAAAAACAAAAAATGTAGAGAGAAAAAAAAAAGTTCCAAACGGTGATCACAATCCTTAGATCAAACAAAATAGCGAGAAACAAACAGAAAAAACAACAATGTACCCGACACACAAATCCCACTTTCATTCCTGTGTTGGGACTTGGGAGTCGTCAATTTTAACTTTTATTTTATTTTATTCAAATTGATCATCTTATTGGTCTCCTATAAAAAGTGCAGTGATCGTATTATTGATCAGCACCAAGCCCTTATTTTATGAGATTTTTGTTTTTTTTTTTTTTTTTGTTTTCACTAGTACTTAAAAATACATTTTGAGTATGGATTTTGGAGTATCAGATGAGTTGTTGGGGACTTTTGTGCCAATTTTGGTATATTGGGCTTATTCTGGAATTTGTACTCTGGTGGGATCGTTTGATAATTATCGGTTGCATTCAAAGAAGGACGAGAACGATAAGAATTTGGTCTCGAAGACGACGGTCATCAAAGGTGTTCTTCTCCAGCAGGCAGTTCAGGCCCTTGTCGCAACCATCTTGTTTACAGTTGGTTCCTTAGACATCTTTTCTCTCATACATATACATATACATACATTATATATATATATACATACATTATATATATATATATATATTTCATAGTCCTGCATGAAATATATCATACATATACATTAATGTATATATCATTATGATGTTGGGATGGATGAGTCGTTTGTGTCAATAAACAGAAAATTTTATTTTATTTTAATATTGTGTTTGGTTACGCTGAATTAGAGAAATTTTTAATTTAATTTTCTAAGTGCTTTCACGGTTTTAATTCTAAAACTCTAATTCCTTTCCCTGCCAAACATATTAGTAGTTTTGATTAATTATTCTTTATCCTTCAACAAAAGCTTGTCAAATTGCATGAATTAGCTAAGATTAGTACTGTGTTCACCTATGGTGGCGTGAAGCCTCTTATAAGTTATAACAACTTATAATTCATCACTAAACACAAACCGTTACCATTGTCTCACATGCATGGGCAATTTTCAAAAAAAATTTAAATATCAAAAATTGATGCATTTGTGAGAATTAGCTTGATATGACAATTGTGAAGTGAGATTATATCATGATTTAGGAAACATTGGCCGCGACTAATCTCTAGTTAAAATATGTTAGTTTTATTTAGTTTTTTACTTGTGGATTAATTAGTAATTGATGAGGACTAAGATTTCTCTTAGTATTTTTGGACTCTTTTTAAATATATATTACTTGAGAATTAATTTTAGCATCAACACTTTTACTTATAGATTTTTCATCTAAAGCATCAAATTATATTGAGCCGGTCCTGAAACAACATACTCTTGATTGCTAGTAGGTTACCGGAAACGATGACGAGGCCAAGACGAATAAAAAAGCTTGCCTCATTGTTCTCGCACGACAATTCCTTGTTGCAATGTTGGTTTTAGATACTTGGCAATATTTCCTGCACAGATACATGCATCATAACAAGTTCTTGTACTGGAATATCCATTCGCAGCATCACCGGATTGTTGTCCCATACGCGTTCGGAGCTCTGTATAACCACCCCTTGGAGGGGCTCCTTATTGACACAGCTAGTGGTGCCTTGTCTTACCACCTCTCTGGAATGTCTCCGCGAGCCTCCATCTTCTTCTTTTCCTTGGCCACCATCAAGGCAATAGATGACCACTGTGGGCTGTGGCTTCCTTGGAACCTCTTCCATGTGTTCTTTAGAAACAACTCTGCTTATCATGATATTCATCATCAGCTATATGGAGCCAAGTACAACTTCTCACAACCATTTTTTGTTATGTGGGATAGAGTTCTTGGTACTTACATGCCTTATGCAATTGAGCAGAGAGTCGATGGAGGCTTTGAAGCAAGGCCTACTAAAGATTACAAGAATGATTGATTATATATATGGAGAGCTGTTGTTTGTTGTAAGAGCTTAATAAGGTTCTAATATACTCAAGATCAAGGATTAAAATGCGCACATTTCAGCGTTTATCACTCGTCACGACATGATTCATTGGATCTTGTGGTTCTCACAGTAGAGTTCAGATATTCAAGTGATCGACCTGACTCCAAGTAATAAAAAAAATATTTGATTGTTGTTGTAGTATTAATCTGAATATATTAAACATGTCACTCTCATTATCATAATATTGGCATTGTTGAGTCTTCTTATCAAGTTTTTGAGTTTTATGCGAATCTTTTTTTGACAGTGTCTCATAAGAGAGGATGAGACGCTTCATAAGAGAGGATGAGACGCTTGTCGATTCAAAAAGTTTAAATTATTAGATAATATTGTATACCCATCCTTATATGCTCGATCATTACTTTTTCCATCCACTCTAATGTATGACAAAAACTCTTAACATTCTTTTATTTGAACTCACAATGTCATCGTTGTGATTAGACCACCATATCTATCCAATTTGGAGCTGAATACCTCTGGATTGGATACTTATATTACACTGAATCAAGGACTAACCTTTTTTCTGATACCACTTGTAATGGATCAAGTGTTTCGTGGAGCTCACAACTGGGCAAACTATTTTACAAGTCTCACCTGATGGACTCAACTTAGACCTTTGTCAAATATAAAAAAATAAAAATAAAAGAAAACATTTTACCTAAAAAAATAATTTGATTGTTTTGATCATATTTGATAGTTTAAAAAATATATTACGTTGAAATTAACGGAGCCTAATATCAAATTAAAATATTAAATATGACTCATTTATTGAGAATTAAGTGTTAAATTAAATTATCAAATGTGACCAAAACAATCAAATTAATATGTTTGTTTAGATGACATCATTACATAGTAATATGTACGCTTGTATGACATCATTTAAGTGTTGAGTAAAGGAAGACCATCATTTGCTCCTCTTTAAGAAGAATTGCCTTCTTCTAGAAGAAAAATTATTATCTGGCCCAGGTCTTCAACCCAAGACTTGGGCCTGAATAGTTAAGTTTATCAAGGAGCCCACCACTACTGAAAATAATAGAAAAGGAAAATGCGCTCTGATCGTTGATGATATATTTTCAGAAAAAATCTCCAATCCAACGGCTATTAGGAATTTAGGATAAGCACGTTGAGAGAATTTCCTTCACATGACTACTCCTTTAACAAACTAATGACAACTTCAATGACTAAAAGCCAGCGATAACCAAACAGAAACAGACTGCTACGTGTCAACTAACTTTAATCCAAATCCTATGGGCTTGTCTTGTCCATGTCCATGTCCGGACTTTCAATTTTCTTCGATTACACAATAAATTATTATGTAATATTTGTTAAATCAATTCAATTTAGATTGTTTTGATTGAAAAAATTATTTCATAAGAATGTATTAAGGAAAATAATATTATTGATAATTTTAATACCCAATTTAAAACCGACACATATAAAAATATGATAACTTTTGTTTATTTTCATAAAAGACGTCTATTTCCCTTTTTCTTTTCTTTTTTTAATTTTTCAAAACGGTATCATCTTTTTTCATAGTAAGTTTCATGATATTCAAATATAATAATTTGATTTTGATTTGAACAAAATCTAAAACAAAAACAAGCAATGTTTTATAATTTTTCAATGCTTTGCAATTTTTTTTTTTTTTTTTTTTTTTTTTTTTTTTAAATCCTCTTCTTGTTTTTTTGTTTCTGGGGTGTCAGATGGATCATTAACTTCAATTATTATAGTAATTAACAAATGCATATTAAAGTAATAAATGGATATTAATGATCAAAGACACAATCTTTTATATATGTAATCTAAATTATATATAAAATAAATATACAATTTTATATATATGGTGATTGAAACTTTAATAAATAACAAAGATATTATATTAAGATGGAACCAATAAAGTAGATTTCAACTTTCCAAATAATTAGTTATATTCTATTTTAAATTGGATCTCATTATACTTGACACATGATAGCCACATAAACTCGGTGATTATTTGGGACAAATAACAGAACTCGTATTAATATTAGAGAATCTCCAATAGTTTTGTGTGTATATATATATATATATTTTGTAAATATGGTGTCTCATAATAGATTTACAAATTGATTGATTATTTTTTATTTTATACCTTTTGTATAAAAATATATTTCTCAATAATAATCAACAAGTATCATACTTGGACCCACAAATTTTTTACAAACTTACTTAATATAAAGTTGATTCGTTTACGAAATGAAAAGAAAATACACAATTTTACACATTGATAATATGACAATGTATTTTAATAAATTATTAAAAAATTAAAAAAAAAAATTACACATCTCAACAATGGTATAAATTTAATTGGTCGATGCTTGCCAAATGGACCTTAACTAACTAATATCTCCAAGACCACTCGTGGTGGACCTGGACCATCTAATTTCTCCGAGACCACACGTAAACCACGGCCCACGTCATCGCCAGCCACAGATTATAACCAACTATCCAATTATCATTTGACAAGCTGTCCTATCCAAATGAAGAACGGCCACGTAGGCGGTTGTACATTATAAAGTCAATAACACAAGGCACTGGATCCGAATCTCCCATAGTTTTCAAAATAGCCGACGACTTTGAATTTCACTGTGTCTCTGCTCCCCCGGTTTCGACGAACCTCTTTGAAGCCCTAATTCAAATTGGTCGTCTTGATTTTCTCCTTTTATAAATTAAGTTCGATGATTTATTGTTCTGTTGAAATTACAGACGTTTTCGTTCACGGTCTAGGGTTAGGGTTTGTTTGGATTCAGTTTCGGTTGCAAAATTGCTTATCAGTTTATTGAGCACCGAGCCTTGATTTTCTGCGTTTGTTTGTCTTTTTTTTTTTTTTTCCTTATTTTCTCTGGTAGTTAGAAATACATATCGATATGGATTTTGGGGTATCAGATGAGGTGGTGGGGACTTTTGCGCCAATTTTGGTGTATTGGGTGTATTCTGGAATTTGTATTCTGTTTGGATCGTTGGAGAATTATCGATTGCATTCGAAGAAGGACGAGGACGAAAAGAATTTGGTGTCGAAGACGACGGTCGTCAAAGGCGTTCTTCTCCAACAATTCGTTCAGGCTATCGTCGCAACCATCTTGTTCACAGTTAGTTCCTTAAATATCTTCACTTTCACACACTGATACACACACATATATATAGATTCTTTTCTCTTTCACACACTGACACACACATATATATAGATTCTTTTGTCTTATTTTGTGATGGATGAGTTTGTGTAATATTCTGATAACTTTTTTAGTGGTTTTGATTGATTATTCTTTTATCAACTATTTGGGGTGTGAATATAATATGCATTCACAGAAAGAAAGTTCAAATTTTCATATAGTAGATATGCATACAATAGATATTCTAGCAGATCATTGTTATGAAAAAAAATAAAGAAAAAAAGAGAAGGAAAAATATTTAATTAGGTATATTATGAAGTAGTTACATATACTGAATTACTAATTTCAATGGAGCAGTAATGATTGTGAAGAGCAGTTTGGGAAGTTCTTTGTTAGAGGGTTTTATTGATTTTTTTTTTTCTTTCTCAGATGTATATTTAGGAAGAGTTTCTGTAGTATATGTTCTTCTAGTGCTATAGTTATTTTAGATGGTTTAATTATTGCAGGTCTTAAATTTAAATTAGAATAACATACAAATCTTGTGGAGAGTTACTTTATGTTAGGAATGCTTATGGAAAAAAGATTATTTTAGTAGCATGATTTTGGATTGATGAATAGGACTAACTAGAAGAGAGAGTCTTAGTTTAATCAATATGTTTGATGGAAATTAGGAGTGGCACACTGGCACCTATGAATGATAAAACAAGATAAAGCGGCGTAGGTGATATTGACATATACCATATATAACAATTGATGGACCAAAAAAGGAAGATTAAGATAAAATGAATTGTAAGAGAGAGGGAGAGATGCAAAATAAAATTAACATTGGAAGAAGTAATAAGAGAAGGCCTTAAGAGATTAGACATAATAAGAGGCATAATTTGTAATAGAAAGAGTAGAAGTATAGAATTTATGTGGTGGACCTCATTCGACCGAGATGAAAGTAAGGATGATGATGATGAACTTCATTTTAGGAGTATAAATAAGACAACAGTTAAACTGATGAATAATAGATATCCAGAATTAATTATTTGTTTCTCAGATTAATAATACATATGGACAGAGATTGCATTTAATGTTCCAAAAGAAATCATGGTAGAGTAGTAAGTAGATAGATACTTTTTGACTGTCATTTACTTGTGGGATATCTGTCAACTAGGAAGCACGGACACACCTAAAAGGGCAAAGTATCCGTGTCGGACACCGACATGTGCCAGACACGCCTCGACACGCGCCGGACACGCGACGGGCACACCAAAAAAGGTGTCCGAATGTTTTATAGTTTCTTGAATATCCAAACAAAACTGTCATGGATACATGTCCGACACACGTGTCCCATTAAGAAAGTTATAGAAACAATGTTGAGTTGAAGTATAAATATTAGGAGTTGTTTAATAACTTTCAGTAATATGATGGTAATTACATAATTACTTAAAAGTTATTGTTTTATAAAACAATTATTATTATTTTTTTTGATAAGTATTGTTTTATAAAACAATTAGTTATTTTATTTTTATATTCAAGGTTCAAACTCTTGCACGATCATCTTTGACTCTTTTGTTCTCCCACCAACCAAGCTTCGCTACCGGTGAATGGTCATTCTATCTCTCTCTTCTCTTTTCTCTCTTCTTCTTTGTCCTCTTTTCTTTCTTCTTTCACAAATCCTAGATACTTCTTTTTTTCCTTTCACAATAAATTACATTTTGCGTTTCTTTTTCCTCTATTTCCCATGAACTTTTTTCTCTTCTATGGATTCTTACCGTTATTTTTAACTAAGGCCTAATTCTTATTCTAACAAAACCCTATTCCTCTTCGTTTTTTTTTTTTCCCTCTTTCTTAACAATCTTTCTATCATTCTTTCTTTTTCCCAGCAAAACACAATTTTTTTTCATTTTGAGGTTGTAAAAACTAATATTACTCTTAATTTCCTAAAGGACAACATCATATATATATATAAATATATTTATTATTTGCCGTGTCCCAGCTGTGTCCGTGTCCTAATTTTTCTGGATTTGCCGTGTCGCCGTATCCGTGTCGTGTTTTATCCGTTTCCGTGCTTCTTAGCCCGTCAAGTTATGAGGAAAATATTTTGAGACAGTTATGAGGCTACATATGCTTTATGATATAGATGTGTGCCATATCTCTATTTGGTTCAGTTTCTAAACTTTAGAATGTGTTTTTGGATATGGGAAATGTATTGAAGTGACAAATTAGCTTTTATGTATCCTAGGGTAATGTTTTGCGTATGCATAGTATGACTGCCTGTCCGATGGGTGTTTCTTCTCCCAAATTGAAATATATCCATGCGACAGGGAAAGTAATGTGGTTTTTGAGGAAATATTTGCTGAATTAATCCGTCCCTCTCTTTGTCTTCCTGACATGCTTTTTTGGTCATGTTTATGTCAATAAGAAACTTGTCAAATGCATGTTTCATAGTCCTGCATGTGTCTTCGTGTTTAATACGGGTGCTTGTACATTTTAAAGCATCCACTCAGCATCGTTACATGCTAGGGAGCCGAGCAATTCTATTTTTTTTTTTTTTTTTTTTCCAGAAAAAAGGATGGAGCTAAGAGGAGTATGTTGTGAGATATTTACTTGCACCACAATAAACGGAAATATAGGAAATGGATGCATGTGGGAGAAGAGAGGACAAGATGAGGGCATGATGACCCATAATGGAATGCAGGACTAGGCAGTGCATAGCTGATCTAAGAAGTTGGGGGTAAAAACTCATTTGTGACTTTAGTAGCAAAATTGGAATACTTTACACATTGCATGGAAAATAACTTTATTGAACAATAAAGATTGCATTAATTGCTTCTACAGTAACTACAGAACTAGCTTTTATTTATATATGGTTATTAATTGGGTATAAGGAGTTATAAATGAGAAATAACATTGAATGATTGATATGAAGAAGAGGAAAATTAATGTTGGAGTGTACTGAAACATATTATGTTAGACTCAGTAGCAGTTATCGTCCAATTCTTAAGCAGCATGAATGGCATTTTTGGAGCATTAGTCAAGTCAATATTTAGGTTTGTGGAATTGAGCTGCATACCAACACGGAATCGATATGTAAGTGAAAAATGCCTTGCTAGTCTTTTCATTGGACTGATGTTGTATGTTTGGTCATGGGCAGTGATTTTGGTTGTCAGTTACATGTGGGGTTTAGAACCTATGAAATTGATGATGTTTTTATTTTTTTTATTTTTTTATAAAAATATATTATTATTATTATTATTATTATTATTCAGGAAGTGTTTCATTTTTATGTTATTTGTTGATTGGCTAGATATGTCATCGACATATAATATAACAGTGTCTTTATTTATTCATTTATTTTTTGTTTGTAGTTGAATTGAGCCAATTAGTTGAATATGTCCAGGGTTAATCCTGTGCTATGTTTTTAATTACTCTTTTGTTTGGTTGTAGGTTACAGGAAATGATGAGGCCACCACAAATCAAAATGCTTCCCTCATTGTTCTCGCAAGACAATTTCTTATTGGGATGCTGGTTTTAGATACTTGGCAATACTTCATGCACAGATACATGCATCATAACAAGTTTTTGTACCGGCATATCCATTCTCAACATCACCGGCTTATTGTCCCATATGCATTTGGCGCTCTGTATAACCACCCCGTGGAGGGGCTCCTGCTTGACACATTTGGTGGTGCCTTGTCCTTCCTCCTCTCAGGAATGTCTCCTCGAGCCTCAATCTTCTTCTTTTCCTTTGCAACCATCAAAACGGTTGATGACCACTGCGGGTTGTGGCTTCCCGGGAACCTCTTCCATATATTCTTTAGAAACAACTCTGCTTATCATGATATTCACCACCAGCTATATGGGACTAAGTACAACTACTCACAGCCATTCTTTGTTATGTGGGATAGAATTCTTGGTACTTACATGCCTTATGCGATTGAGAAGAGAGTCGATGGGGGCTTCGAAGCACGGCCCACTAAAGATTTCAAGGATGATTGATTACATGGAGATAAATTTGTTATAAATTTGTGCCACTACTTTTTGTTTGTTTGTTTGTTTGTTTTTTTTTTTTTTCTTCGTGTTTTTTCTGTTTTCTTTTTATACCAAATGCCTTACTACTGAGGATTCATGTATATATTTATATATATTGTTGTATTATTCGGACTATTTTCTCCATATATGGTTTTTATAAACGTAATGATGAAAGTGTGAAGCAATGCATTAAGCTAAATCTTGGTATTTATTTTAAAGTGGCCTCTTTTGATTTTGGATTTTAATGTGCTTCAATCTTGTTGATGAGGTCTGTGTTTGTCTGATCGTTTGATAATGCTGCTGCAGCAGCAGCAGCTTGAATATGTTATTGGCTTCATGGATTTCTCAAATTTAATAATTTTGTCATTTCAGAATTTCCCTGAAGTATTGGTTAGCTTTTCTTTGACGAAGTCTTCCTTGAGTCAAAATTCCAAATTACTGACTTTTCTAGAGCTACGTTAAAGGTTCTTGTAGTATCTTAGTGGTCGGGGCCAAAATATAAGGTGGTCGGGGCCAAAATATAAGGGACACAGAGTGTGAGCGTCGGTAATTACTGACTTTGCTAGAGTAACATTAAAGGTCCTTGTAGTATCTTAGGGGTCGGAGCCAAAATATAAGTGACAGAGTGGGAATGAGAATGCGAGCGTCGGTGAAACGTGAGAATATAAGTGACAGAGTGGGAATGAGAATGCGAGCGCCGGTAAAACGTGAGAGTTGTTTGACCCTGACCTTAAGTCACATAGAGCGAGAGCGCGAAATCGACAAAATATAAGGAACACAGAATGAGAGTAAAAGTGCGCTCAGAACTCTCTCACACTCAGAGTATAAGAACTACACTAAACTTTCTCAAGCCCTAAATTTATTATGAGGTCCTGGGCTGAATTTCTGTAAGGAACACTGTATTCAATTCATTTTTGCAGTGACCAACGTGTCTCTCTTCTAGTTATTTGGCTAATCAAGTTATGGTTAGGCCTTGAAAATGATAGGATTATAAATTCCCAAGACCTTTCTGTCATCAAAATATTCCTTTTGTCTCTTATCTACTTCAATAGTAAAAATCATTTTTCTTCTCCATGTGTAGGGATTGACTTACTTGGAATCCTACCTCAAAGCATTAATCATATCATCACTGCCAAATGGTCCATGAAAAAGAAAGAGATACAACTCTCATTCCAGGCTTGCATTGCATATGCAAATATGGAATATCTAACTCACAGAAGCTTGCGTTGTAGATGTAAATATCTAACTCACATTATTACATTGGTGTTGTTGAATCTCCTTGTCAACATTATGGGATTAAGAAAAAAAAAAAAAAAACAACAACAACAACACTATTTGAATCTCTTCCTAATTATATTAATATCTTGCATTTATGGTTTATCCACCTCTAGTTCTTGGTACCACTTCTTGACCCCTATCATTCACATGCCTATCCTCTCCCCAGTCATCATCTGATGGTTTCTTTGTATTTATTAGATTGTTTTTCAGGGAATAATTTGGATTGTTAATATATCTCTAAAAGATATTTTCTATTTAAAGTGAAAGAAAGTGAAATGATGAAAAGAATAGAAAATTTTCATCATCTATTTTATTAGCATGAAATTTCTTACGAAAATGATGAGAAATTACCATTTTATGATGTAATAGTATGAAACTTATCATAAAAGAAAGGACATTATTGACCAACAGGTCAGTGGCCAAGCGGTACCAGGTCTTTATTTTTTAAAGAGAGGTTAGGGATTCGAGCCTTAGTGAAAGGCATAGGTGTGTGAGTACCAACTAAAAAAAGAAAAAAGAAAAAAGACATTATTGTAAACATTCATAAAAGTTTGCAAGAGCAAAATTTTCCTTTTTTTTTTTTTTTTTTTTGGAAAAATTTATGAGAAAGTTATGTGCCTATGGAAAGTAATATTTTTTTTTTTCTCCTAACCAAACTTTTATTGCTAAGTTTGGTGTGTATGAATGGAATGGAATACCCATTCCACCCATTACTTTGTTTGGTATGCAATTTAAAGTGGGAATGACCATTCCATTTGAATGAAAATCCATTATACCACCACCACAACCTTCACCACAACCACTGGTGGCTCGCTGTCACCACCACCTCCATTGCCTCCCACCACTGTCACTGCCACCGTCACCATTGTTGCCACCTTTAACCATCACACTGCCGCCACCTCCACTGCTTTTAGCCACCGCCACCACCGACTTCCACCAATGCCACCGCATTCCACCACTACCACCTTTGACCACCGCCACCTCACTGCTTTCCACCACCGTTATTGCCACCACCACCACCATCACCATTACCACCACCACTGTCACCTCCTTCACCATCACCGTTACCTTTCACCACCACTACCACCATCCACCACCACCACTACCACCTCCTTCACCATCATCGTTACTTATCATCACCACTACCGCTATCCACCACCTCCATCACCATCACGACTACCACCACCACCGTAACTTCCTTCCACAACCATCACTATCACCGCCACCACCGTAGCTTCCTTCCACCACAATCACACCACCGTCGCCTCTACTACCTTCCACCACCACCGCCTGTGATACCCCCTAAATTCAAAGACATGAGTTGATCAAGTCCACGCCCAAAATTAGGGGATATTAAACAATTAATAATAAAAACATGTTATACATTGTAAGCATAACATTGCATTGTCACGAGCATTGGGTATGTTGTGAGGAAAATTTGGAAATATGAAATGGAAAAGTTTTGAAGAAGTTTTAAACAAAGGTTTTTCTTAAACCCAATAGTTGGGGGGGGGGGGGGGGGGTTATTAATAGGGATACGAGGGGTACCCGTGAGTAATTTAGTGACCTCGGGCCCCAAATGATAGTTGGGAGTCACCCTTTGTCAGGGACGACTAGCAAATTCTCCATAGGGACGGCGGGGATACAAAGTCTGACTAGTTAGTACGTTTTCGGTGTGCGTTACACAAGTTATTTCATGCATGGCATTGTTTCATATTGTTGATGTTGGATAGTGAATGACTTGTTTATGATATGTTATCCCGGCATGATCCCCATCCTCTCAATCTATTCATTGATGTGTCTAAGCATGTATTTACCTACTTATTTTTAGGAGATTCCATTTAGGCAATTTTTACTGGGCCTTATGCTCACTCTTCTACATTTTTCAGGAAATGATAAAGAAGTGGAAAATGATCTACATTTCCGTCCTTGATCCTTGAAAGACTTAGCATTTTTACTACATTGTATATATGACTTTTGATTTAATTGTCAACTTGTAATTCAAAGCATGTAAATTTGTCAAGTTTAAGTGTATATGGCTTTAACTATGTAAATTAGAATTAATGAATATATCATTGGGATTCATTTGCATTCTTTTGAAATCTTATTGTAACCTACAATTGATTCTAGGAACTTTGAATCATTCATTGATGTAATTCATCTTATTTTGATGCATGTTCAATGTATAAGGATTCACTTGTCATGCCTTCAATGCTAATGGTTTATCTATGATGTCTAGAGGCTATATTGTCTGTGCACTCTTGTTGCTTATGTTTTTGTTCTATACCTTAATGAGCAATGTAAGAACCAAGCCAATACTAATACATGGCCTTAAAATCATTATTCAGGGCCAGAGCTCGACCACAAAGTTTTGTGCTCGAGCACATGGCCCTTAACCAAGAACCAATTTCTGCAGGGTGGCTTATGCTTGAGCAAAAGGGGTCTGTGCTTGAGCGTTGGGGTAGTTTTGGGTGGGATCTTGAGAGCAACTCTCGGGACTTTTCATTGCAGATCCTAGAGCTCAAGTACAAAATTTTGTGCTCGAGCACAAATGGTTGTACTCAAGCACAAAGTGATCTGACCCTATACTTATATTAGTTCAAACTTCAAACGCCCATAACTTCTTCGTTTTAAACCCGAATAGGGTTGTTCTTAAGCCTGACTTGTATGTTTTTTAGTAATCTTTCTAATGGTATCGGTCCCATCCCAAAAATTTTATATTAAATGACCATTTTGGCCTTGTGTGTTCCCAAGTCGGGTTAGGACCTAGTTAGCGATTCGGACTCCCAAGTTTGGATCGTTACATATGTGGACCCTAGTATTGGGGGACTCTTAGCCACCTTGTGTGCAATTTTTTCTTGAGATACCCACTATCTGGTTGAGACTGCCCTATAGTCCGATGATCGTCTTAGTGTGTATATATATATGTATTGACTATGTAGCTATTGCATTAGTTCGGCTAAGGATGTATCGTTTATCGGTTCTCTGATTAGATTGTAGTATAAAGGACTTATTTGTGGGTTTTGACCCACCTTTGTTATATTTTTCAAGTGTTTATTAGTTCCAGTTTTAGAGATTGTTCGTACTGATCAAAGAGCAATCATCTTCACTTTTCCCGAGTCATTGACGTATGATACTATCTTTGTTTAGTTTATTTAGTAGAATATGAGATATTCATGTTTCAGTTATGGCATTTTGGTTAGGGGTCCATGATACGGATTCCCAAGTTGCATTATGGAAATTTATTCCTTATGAGATTTATAGGAGTATTGGTATCAGATAATTGAGGATTTATTAATTATTATTTTAGTTTTCCATTCAGCATTATTATTTATTTTATTATGTTCCTCTTATTTTCTGTGCTTGTTTAAATACTTAATTGCTTTGATACTCCCGGGTTTTCGGGTATGGGTCTGACTAACGTACACGTGAAAATTTGGGAGTATTACACACCGCCACTGCATGCCTTCCACCATCATCACCTACGCCACTAAGGTCTTTCACCATTACCACCACCACCGCCGCCATTACCAGTGCTTTCTACCAACACCTGCTGCCTTCCAACACCACTACCGCTTTCCACCTCCACCACCATCAACTAGCCATTTCTTTTAAAAAATTTATAGAAGAATCAATTATGTTATTTTGTTAATTTAAATTATTTGTCACTTATAGGGATATTTTGGATGATTCAATTTGAAATTCATTCTTTTTAAAATTTTACATTAGTCCATTTCTACAATTTCATATTTGCAGCTAAACAATAGAATGAGAATGACAATTTCATTCTCACTTGCATTCTATTCCACTCCATTCTTGCATGCCAAACGTAACTAAGTGTTGAGAAAATTTTTAAAAAAAAGTTTTTCTTGCTAACTAAACTTCTCAAGTGTTCATAAATTTTTTATTTTTGTTTTATTTTCTTTTTATTCCCTCTAACTAAATAATCCTTAGTACGAGTTGGACCAAAAAGTTGCAGCAAGCCAACTTGGATTGATATTGTCATGATATCTAGTAGTAGTACAATTGACGCTCTCAAATCTTCTTTTGAGATTTTCTATGAAAAAAAATCATGTGTTATGCTTTTTATATCATCTATGGTTTTGTAAGATTGATTCCAGACAGTTTTATCAACAAGAGGATATAGTATTTTAAATCTTTGATCGAGGAGAATTAAATATGATAAAGATTTTTTTTAATTGTTTTTTGGGTTGAATGTTCAACCCTATATTAATATTGACACGATTTGGATGATACAAGGCAAATGGACCCCAGTTACGTTAAGGTGGTTGAGCAATTGATTGAAGCAGCCTACATTTTTTTCCCCTTTTTTTTCCTTCTTTTTTGTCTTTCTTCCTTTTCAGTGTGCAAATTGGAGTGATTATAACAACTGTAACATGTCCCATACAATAACATTACTACAAAAAATTTCATTATTAATATTGAAGGGCTCTTTGAAAGCTACCTCACTCTACTCCTAATTAATCACTTGGAAGTAGATACGAAGTAGACATATGACCTGTCATTGCCGAACATTAATTTGGTTCTGTTTAGATTCTCTTTGAGACAGCAATTTAATTAATTTTTTTTTTTAGTTGGTACTCATACACTTATTTTTTCTGAGATTTGAACTCCTAATTTTTCTTTAGAAGGTAAAAGACTGATACCGCTAAGTCACTAATTCGTTAATAATTTAAACAAAATAGTTTAAAACTCATCTCACCGCAATTAATAATGCATATATAAATAAATATTCTTTTATTAGTTATAGCTTTTCTTTTCTCCTCACATTTATGATAATTTTAGCATGTTAAGTATTTGTTTAATTAGCATAGTTTTCTTTTCTTTCTTATTTATTTATTTATTTATTTATTATTGCAAAATTAATCTTAAATTTGATGAAGTGTATGTTGGGGTGTCCCGAACTCGACCCGACTCCAATGCGGGACGAAGGGTTGGAATAACAATGCTTCGTTCCGGATTCGTCTTAAATCCGCCCTGTGGACATCAGTTATAAGGGGAGACTTGTTCCATATCGGATTCGGATAAAAACTGGTTAAGTATTTTTTTTACCTTATAGCTTAATTTTTTAGGTCGAATCGCAAAACACCCATCCGTTACAACATCCTACATGGGAGCTTGAGCAATCACTGCAAGGTTTTTGAGTTGGTTTGGGGAAAAGCTGTTTTCATAATGGAATGAAATGCAAAAGAACAGCCATAGATTTGTTCCATTTTCAACGGTTGTGAAGAGCTGAGGATTAATGACTTAAATTCCCAGTAAAAACCACAAGTGTGTTGGAATACTCTCTTTTCAAATCCAAAAGTATGTTGCCTTTTCATTCATACAAAGATAGTCACCATCTAATCGAAGTGGTAAAAAAATGTGCTCATTTCTGTTGCCGACATTCCAAAGAATGTGCTGAAACTTTGAAGCTCTCCTATCTCTTGTGGTCCTCACAATATATGTAATATCCACAAAATTTCAGCAGCTCAATTTTTCAGAATACCCAATCAGCAGCATTTTCTGATAACATGAAACAAGATTGTTATTGTAGTTTTACAGTTGTGGACGTTGTGTAATGGACTCCGTTTATATTAGCTTAACATAACAAAATTGGTTATCGGTGAATTTTTTTCGACCTTGCACACAACACAAAATGCAACGAAATTGGTTATGGCTGAATTTTTTTTGACCTTGCACACAAGTCAAAAAATGCACACCGATGCGCTACTTTTTACAACATAATCCAAACACCTATCATACTCAATATGCCACTATACTACTTGCCGAAAAAATATGCCACTGCATCCAAAAACATCAGTCTCCTTTTGGCTTTGGTTTTGAACTAAAATCTGGCCAAAGTAATCAAATTTTTTTTTTTTTTATTTGTCTCACACATAGTACAGTTCGTTTAACATGAGAAGGAACTGAGTTTATTTTCTGGAAATTATTGATATTACAAATGAAGTAAAACATCTATCATACTCACTCCAAATTACAAAAGCAAGCTGGCATACAGTAAATGCAAACCTATGCTACTGAATTTACAAAAGATGAATACAGTGAATAGTAATGAGCCTCAAAACCATGTTGAATTTGGTTAAATCAAAAGCTTGTCAGCTTAGCCTCAGCTCGAAACCTTGTCACTGGTGCAAAAGAGTCCGGCTTGTAGCGCCATCTCAGGTCAGGGACCGCCTCCTCATTTGTTCTGTTACTTCTGTATACATCTCCTGCAATTCTCACAGCTTTGTGACTCTTGCAGCCCAACAGTCCCGGGCGTCGCCTCTGTGCCTCTTTGCTTGGTGCAGCAACTGCTGCTTTGGCAGCTGGAGCCATTCTGTTTGGGGTTTTCGTGGCGGCTGCTGCTGCTGTTCTTAGCTCCTCGTAATCGGACACCACTGAGAAATCTGCCGCGCTGGCAGTGACAACGCTCCACTCGATGCTTGCTTCACTTGGAGCATAGCAAGTTGTGGGGGTGACACAGCATGACATGCCATCTGATGCCTGCCTAGCCAAGCATGAGTTGGGGTTGGGGTTGGCATTGTTTGTGAAGCTCTCTATCTCGAATAAATCCGAACTCGTATCACTTTCAACATCGTTGTACATTGCATCAAAATATGCTGCAGTGTCGGTTCCTTCCACTCTTGGTGTGGCATCCCAAGACAACATTGACAATCTTCTCGAGAGGCCTAACGGTTTCACTCCCTTTTCCAAGATAGGGGAGCCAAACACCTCTGATGACTTCCGCCGTTTGTCATCTTCATTTTCATGACTTCCTGTCTTGCAATTCAAATTCGGAAAGCTAAAGCATTCTTCTTTCCGAAATTTGAGTCCCAACTCATCAAACTTGTCGTATTTCATCTCCTCCTTCACAATTGGATCCAAGTTGGATTTATTGATTCGAGCTAAATCAACCGAATCAATAGCAGTTTTGATAGGCTCTTTTGGGATTGTTTCGCTCTGAACTACCCCACATTTCACACTTGTATTGGAATTGCTTTCACCACCACTTTCATCAATGTCAACAGAGTGCTTGTTTCTACAAGAGCAGCTGCAACCAAGACTGGCTAGGAAGCTCCTCCTCCCATTTCCCTTTCTTGGAGCTGGATTTCTCTTGACACTAAGCAACAACGAATTCCGGCTGTTCCAACTTGATTCAGAATGAACACTCGGAGTTTGTGGTGGTGGTTTTGTTGTTATGGGGCCTATATCGACCGGCTGATCATCCTTCTTGTACTTTATTGCTCTCCTGTTGGCAATTCTCGTATCTTCTTCGTCTACTCCTCCATTTAAGTATTTCTCCGCGCTAAATACGCCAATTTCCTCATCTGAAACCTTATTTCTTCCCAAGTAAAGGTGCTCATGTGGGGAGGTGATAAAGGATCTGAGCTCTTGGTTTGACTCAGCAAGTTTGAGGACAAAGCATTCCTCGGCACCATTCAAGTAGGAAGAAAATGAGGCGTCGCGGAGGATGTTGTTGTTCTTGTTGTTGTTGTTGTTTTCTTTGGACAAGGCTTGCGAAAAATTGGTGTTGCACGGTGATGTCAATGTAACCATAGCCATGGAAATATTTGTTTTGTGAAATTGCAATTAAGAATCAAACAAAAAGGGAAGAGAAAGTGACCCAACAGAAGAATTTGTTCTCAAGAGGTTTCAAGAAATCACAAACAAACACAAGACTACAAAAAGGAAAATGAAAAAGACTTAAAAGACAAGAAAGTATTGAACCACCAAACAGAAGAAGAAAAAGAAAAGGCCAGAGAGCTTATAGTAGTAATTTGAGACTTGAATGTCACACAAGAAACACTGAAAAAAGTCACAAAAAATGTGAAGGAGCTTCGATGCACAAAAGGTTGGAATCAAGAAGAGGGAGAGAGGTCATGGGTAGAAGAAGAGTGTGAATGAGAAGCTTAATTTGAGACAACTTCAGCTTATTAAGAGCCACTTTTATAAGTATACTTAAGGAGGATGCAGTTTGGTAAGAAGGTGGTCCATCTAATAATCACGTCTGTGGCTAAATTCACACTGCGTGAATTCGAGTTCGGGCTTTATCCAGTGACCTACTTGGTAAAACGTCTAGCTTCTGAGCGGGTGTGCCAGGGTCCCTTGTTTTTGTGGACATCATAACATGTTTTCTGATAATTAGATATGACTTGTCTATCCATATATGCACATGGCTCACACACATAGTAGGTTCACAATCCATGATGAATACAGACCATGAAACAGACTGACAAGATTAATATCTACCTGATCAAATGGATTGAATCATCATATCAAACTATTAACAGAACTTTTGTGGGACACTAAGAAAATAATCTGATGTATGGTCTATAAAAAGCTATACATTTAACAGTGGCAGTAATTCCTCAATTTTTTACTTGTCTGATGACTAGAAGGCAATGATGCTATACAAAATTTGTTATTACATTTAAATGCAATTATTGGATATGATATCTCTTACTATATATTATCATTGACGCTTGAAAGCAATCCAATGAGTTGTGACCATTGCTTAGAGCCTCAGATAATAGAACAAAGTTGTTGTAAAGTTTCTTTTGAAAGTTGGTGGTTAGTAGGAGGAGATGATATTCTGATAATTTTATGTGGAGTATTTAAAAGAATTTTAAAAATGGGGAATATATATGAGGTTAGGATTTAGGAATCTCACACACTTGTCTTTGTATTTATGCTAGGTTTTCTGACACACATTTAGTTGACACCCTACCAATTTCTCATACAAGACATAACACAGCTTCTTGTTGCTTTCTATGTGTGGTTCAGAAGAATATTGGGCATAGAAGATCCCACAAAAGACACCATAACCCTAGATTTCAAGCCTCACCATTACCAGTGGTTAAGATGAATTCACCCTTTGATGTCAATAATGTAAATGCACTTAATATGTTGATGTACTATCAATTTTAACCTTTCAACATATGTTGGGGATGTAGCTCAGATGGTAGAGCGCTCGCTTAGCATGCGAGAGGTACGGGGATCGATACCCCGCATCTCCATTATTTCTTTTTTCATCATTTTTATTTGGCAGCAGATAGAATGGATCACATCTTTGCTTATTTTCCCTTTGCAGTCAACAGTGGCTTGTGATGTGACCAGTCTCTTTTAACCACACTATCAGACTAATTTTACCGGCGCAACTCACATTAATGTTATCCCAGAACTCCAAATCACATAAATGTTGTCTGACTTTCGAATTCTAAATCATTATTCTATTATCCGACTTTCGAACTTCAAATCATTATATTATATTATGAGACGAGGTGATGAGAAATCTATGTCATTGAGACTTTCCTTATTCAAGTCATATGTGGTTTGCAATTTGGTTTAGTTTCTGGCTCCAAGTATAGGGTTCTTGAGCCGAGCTTCGTGACTCTTCTCACAGGTTCATCAATGTCTGAAGAGCTGAACTCAATTGAACAACCACCCTCTTTTCTCAGAACATCCAATTCCTCTGCATTTTTTGATCTCTTCATCACATTGATTCTGTAATTTTTTGATCTCTTCATCACATTGATAGACTACACTTTCAGTTTCTGCATCTCAATATTGATTCTGGGCAATTTTCGAAAACAAAATGACACGGAAGACGGGAGAGGTTAGTAAGTACGTTCGGTAGTTACGAAGACACACACAAGCCTGAAATACATTCAAGTACGAACCTGAGAACAAATCATTGTGCCGAAACCAGTATTCTCATTAGCTCGAGCAGAGACATTGCACAGTACAATGTAAACAACATAAATCCTACATGTGTAGAACATTTATAGCTAATCATAAATATTACAGGTTAATTATCATCTGGTTAAAAATACATCATGGAGTCCCCTCCTTGGGGTGAACCCAATTTCATCAAAAACGCCAAGTGGGTAAAAGAATATTTCATGCATCGGCTTGTGTAGAAGGCAGGCGAATTGCTAGCTCGGGATTGTGCCAGAGTTCCACCTTTTCATTTATAGCATTCATAGTGAGGCCGTTGAGTTGTTTTCCCCGGTAACCCAATACTGTTTGACAACAACCAGTATCTTTTCGGGAACGAGGGGACCATCCTCGTGATCCACCATTTTAGTATCCCACCTCATTCCTGCTATTATCTTTTTCACCTTTATTAGCACATCAACCTCATCACGGAATATTACTGCACCTTCTGGTCGCAAAATCCGATCCATCTCCAGAAGAATGTCTTCAAAATTACATCTGCAAGTGATTTGATTAGAAAATGCATGAGTATTAATCATTGATTTCGATTGAAATGTACGACATAGACTAGTCCATAATAATTTTTACGCCTAAAATAGAACAGTAGAGATTCAACAATCTTAGTGCAAGTAACAAACAAAGGATAGTACCTTCCGGGAAAGTGTGATTTGCAATTTTAAAAAGAAAAACTCCTTAAAAAATCTCATAGTCACCAATAGGCACCGGTATAGCTAATCATCAGATGAAAAAATATTGGATTATGCTATCAAACAAGTTCAGTCAGGTTTGTAAACAACCTTGAGATTGACCTATCCTCATTAAGCTTGAAAAGGACTAGTTGACCTCAAGCTTATGCAATCATGATTGAAAGATCAAGCCAACTTAAGAAACACTTGCCTTAATTTGCCTCACTTGCAACCCTTAACATACAGTTTGACGCCACATCAAAAATTTACATGAATAGACCAACTGATATTACAAACAAATTGTATGATAATGGTTGTTCATATATTTGTTCGTGAATCTGTCAGCGATAACAGCATTTCCTATTAAGATACTACACAACTACATACTTTGGCACATCTCAAATTCCGATGTGGCAAATAATTGTAAGCATCATCAGTGTGGAAGTGCAACTTCCACTCTGAAATTTGTTGTACCCATGCCAAAAGAAAAGTAATGTGTTGTGTGAAACATAAAGCAACTGTACCCATAAAATGATGGCCAAACCACAAGAAAGCCAATATATTTATTCCAGAATCCAAGGCACAAACAATTAAAAACTACTTACTTGTCCTTGTACAAGCTGAAAACACCATTGGCATGGATTAGATCATATGTTCTTGGGTATGTGGAGAAAGCTTCACACCTGAACCAGAAAGATACAAATTAAGTGAGATGGTTTTCTAATTTTAACTTCTGAAGGGTGAAAAGGAACAGGAAGAGAAGGAAATTAGTAAAGTAACTGCAAACAAGTCAAAGCTAAACATATAAATTTATTCCAAAAACTAACACAGAATCATCAAATGAAAAGAAGGTGGATATATATCCAAAAAGCAGCTATGATAGGCCATTGCTGTGTATATTTAGATGAAACCTATTTTTCCAAATAAATACTGCCAGACATTTTCTAGCAGAGCACAACGAGATTAGCAACTAAAGTCCACTGTAAGACCTATTTGTAATGCATACATTGGTTAACAGGAACTAAAATGGAGATCTTTCTTCTTAAATTTTCACTCCTTACATCATTCTTCTTTTTCTACATCAAGGAGAGGAATCATTTCCTATCAATTCCGTTATTGTATAAATTGTGCTTTTCATCAAGGAAGGTGTGGGTCATCTTGCCAGGTGTCAAAGCAGCAACACTATGGCACACTTCTGCCTCGTCACGTTCCTCCACGAGTAACAATCAACATACTGTGGTTATGCTTCACCACATAATGTGTTTCTCTATTCACCGACTGAAACATGAACACCTCTTCATCTAACACATTGTCGATGACTCATGCCAATTCCTTGGTCAAAGCACACAATATGTTGATCTTGTATCTTACTTATGTAGTGAAAGAGCAAATTTCTATATCCACAGAATTGATACCATGTGCCAAAGTTCAGGGGAGTATGGTGTAACTTTTTTCAAACTTCTAGGCCAAGTGTAATTTGAGTAAATCTCAAGGTAGGTCAGTGTATTTAACCCAATTTTCAATTTAGAATGACTGGTATTCATTTTTAAAATATGCCATCGTTTTCTACTTCAAACTTCATGTTTCTAAGACTTTAAAGCTAATTCCAGTGTTTTATGACCTTCCCAAGAACTCTGAATTATGGATTACTGTGCTGAAAATTTTAAAATAACAGTAAAATAAGATGATCTAAAATAATCTGGGACGTACATCTGGCATTGCAACCCAACATCAAATTTGTTTAAGTTAAAACTATTGTTTTTATTGATTGTTGGACCCTTTGCAATTTGCAAGCAATGTACAAAAAGAGAGTGATATTGCTGTGTTAAAGCTATAAGCTCCAAAATAATGGGAAAAAGCAATTGACACAGGAAAAAGGTGAAAAAGCAAAACTAATATATTTAAAAGAAGGATTAAAAATCATTCATGAAAGACAGCATGCATAGTAAAAGTCATGATCCAGAACTGCAATTATTGAAGTACATGGTACGGAAAGTTCAAAAAGCCATACCAGTCATGGTAGATGCCAATCAATCCTCGCTCGTATACAACACCCAATGTATTTTTCTTGGCTATAGTGGGCATAACATTCATAACCCACAGTTTAGGTGAATCAAGTGCCGCAGCAAAACCTCCCAACCCAGCATTCATATCCAAAATGTTGCGATACCTTCCTGAGTCAAGAATTTTAATAATTTTTTTATAAGCACTTACATGCTTCTTCCACATTTTGTTGTCCTCCAGGTATGTCTCAACAGAGACTCCAGTAACAGATCCACTGGCAATTCTGGGAGGAACAGCATAAAGCCTGTCAGGAAAAGCCTTTATTTCTCCACCAGGAACTTCATTGATATATGGGGTTACACATGCCTCCATCTTTTTGTACCTGACAATCGCCCAAAAAAAAGTACAGAAAATTAAAGCTTTTTCACTGCCTTTTAGGTACTAAGTATGCAACCCCAACAGCAACAAATACAATTATACAACATCAATCAAACCAGGTTTAATTTTGCTAACTATGGAATTCAATTAAATTCAATATAAATCTGGTCAAAAGCACAGCCTGTGCCTACCCATAAGATAACTTCAACTGGTAGTAGTTTAAACCACGATAGGTCATAAAATCATTTACAAATTAACATAGGGTGCTCAAAAGCATTCCTAAAGTAACTATTGTATACAATTAAATTTACCATGTCACCCCAAGGACAACTTGAACTGCAAAAAATTAATCCTAGAGCTGACTGGTAGTAAGATCATTCACAGTTCAATTACCAGGTGCTCAAGCATCCCTAGATAGTAACTATTGTCCTAAAATTAATTTCAAAACTGCTCAATAGATTAATAATCCTGAATTTTGTACAATATCTTATAGAGCCACTCACTCAGGTACTAATACATACAACATGGATGGTCCCCCCCCCCACAAAAAAAAAAAAAAAAACAAAAACAAATAAAAATAAATAATGATAATAATAAAAATAAGAAATAAATAAAGGAAGAAGATAGACAATTGCAATGTCCATGGTTGCCAAAAGCATTTTTATTATATGTGTCCTAATCCTAGTAGTATCCAGGATTGATAGTGTTCTACTATGACACAAACTTGCAGCACCACTAGCAGAACAGCGCAAATTTCCTTGCCATCATAATTTTTCTCATTTCATATGTTAAATAATGCTTATTTAATAAATCACAAAGGCAGATAACAGACAATCCAAATCAAATTATACATGCATTACATTCCCGAACATCAAAAGGATATCTTAATGATGTCCTTATAATTGTTATTTATGATCCAAATCATTAATAACATATGCAGTTTAGCAACATAATTTATCTGTTCTTCTCTATAGTTTGATAGACTTATAAAAGGCTGACCAAATCAGGGATAATGTAGTCATGCAACCTTCCAAACCATCTAATGTAATAAGGAATAACTATACCAAATGTCCACAAGTGAACTGTAAGAAAACAGAAGAAGTTCAAAATGACAACTGCTCGCACTCAAAAAAGAAACAAAGCAGGGGTTGACAATACAATACTTCTACAGAGTTAAAGTGAAACACAAAAAATATGTCAAATATTTACTCTCAGGCCATTTGAGGAAAAGCAAAGTGACCAAGGTGACCAATAGCAGGAGCAAGGGCAGGAGTGGGGGCATGCGAAGGTCAGTTTTTAAAAATCCCTGTGGGAATGTCCTTTCGTTACCTGTAACATATGTGTTGATTTAATTATTATATGTATATATAATTCTTTTATGACACAAAAATTATATGTAAAACTCTACTTTAATAATAAAAGAAACAAAAATGGACCAAGGAAAAAGTGCCTTAATGGCTAATACAAGAGAGAGTGGTCAATGCATGGCCTCGGATTTTCAATCCACAGATTGACCATGGATCCATGTTTAAATCTCTGACCTGTCATCTCAAAGCTGGAGCTCCAACCCTCCAACCTTGTCAGGCAGATTATAGCATATAAGTGATGGCTGTTGATATGACCAATTAGAGAAAATGACTGCACAAACCTTAGAAAATCATGCAAGATAAACAAAAGATATATACACTGGAATGATCCAAATAAGTAGATCAAAAATTATTTTAACAAATAACAAAGTTCACTGACGCATTAGAGAAAATGACTGCACAAACCTTAGAAAATCATGCAAGAAAAACATATAAACAATAGAAATATATACTGGAATGATCCAAATAAGTAGATCAAAAATTATTTTGACAAATAACAAAGTTCACCACACAAGCTATCACACTAGTTAATCACATTATTTCAAAAATTTTGAATATTAAAAAATCCCATACTTCCAAATCTAATTGTGTAACACAGTATATTCCATCTTCAATTTCAACAATAGAATCTCTACTTCTCAATTTTTCAATCCCCTAACTTGAAAAATATTTCAACATGATCAAAAATCACTATAAGATAATAGATAATCAATATTTTCTAGGAATCCCATATTGTAATACTTAATTTTATTGGGTCATATAACTCTCTAATTAGTGGATTAAAAATACTTTGAATATCACCGCAGGTCATTTGTTCATGCAAACCATAACAACATTGGCAATAGATTTCATGAGAAATTTTATGAAATATCAAGAGAGTACCATACCAGACATCATCTGCATCTGCAGATTTGCATAATGTAGCTTGAGAATTATCTTGGGTGGCACGACAAGAATCAGCATTCATAGTCTTCTGCCATATAGCAATTTCACCCTTCTCAGATTTTTTCTCCCAGCAAAGAAGTTTAGCAATCTCTTCAATCTTTCTCTGTTCCTCCTGGAGTTCCTCCTTGGGACGCTGCCATGCTTTGTAGTTATTTTTCCAATTGATTGGGGGACCTGAGAGCACCCAATAGCCGCCAGGTCTAAGAACTCGATCAACTTCCTTCATGTACATCCCATCTGCAGAGAAAAAATAAAAGATACAATTACACATACTGATGATACATTGACAATTGATTACAGTGATATATAATACCCAATAAAAAAAGAAAAAGAAAAGAGAAGGGTAGCAGGTTTGAAATCATCTAACTCTTTCATAAACAGTGGCATATCCTGTGAACATGAACTTTATTGTAGTATATTATTCTCACCATTTGCTCCCCATGAAATTAAGCATCGAGAACAATGAGCCATGTCAAAAGCCCTTGACGGATAGGGCATCTTTATTGTTCCTAGAACACCAATAACAGCAGGTACACCCCTTTCAAGAGCAAACTGAACCTGTGCTTCATGTGAATCCCTTGGTGCAAATGACATAGCTATAACATTTTTCTTCCAAAGGTACGCACCCCAGCTAGCAACCTAGGCAAAATGACACAATATTAAGAATATTAACCATGCATATTAAACCCAAAGAAGATACATATTCAATGTGTCAAAAGAAGAGTTAAATATGAGGGGAGGAAAATTATAAAGTTAGAGGGAAATTTGAGGAGAAGCAACATACCCCACAACCAGTGTCCAGAGCAGTTCTAACCGTCCCATTCTCAATTGGTATCACAGAAGCAAGCTGATTAATATATGTATCGGCCCCTTGAGGAAACTGTGTTCCTCCACCTGGGAATCTAAATACATTGCCCTCGAACTGAATCCAGTTTTGAATAGCCTTCTCAACTGTCAAGCTCTTATATGGTGCATTTGCATAGGGTACGTAGTCACGACTCTTTGGCCATGGAAATGGAGTTACATATCCTTTGGGTGCTGGAATAAGGCATTTTAACTTTTTTTCTTCAGGAGGACAATGCCGTTCTCGGTAAATCATATTCTCCCTTGGGAAGGTCATCGCAATCTTTTGATCTTGGCAGGGTGTGTAATCAGTGAAACGAGGGTGGCATGGTTTAAACACTTTAGCGTTTGATTCAGATTCATCGATGACCCCAGCTTGACCGTTATGATGGGTCTCAAAATTCAGATTTGGAATGATATTGCAGTCTGCCCCACCCTTTGTCATCTCCAGGGCTATACTGTCACCCTTCCCAAACCCACTTCTTTGCCATGCTCCTAGTAAATAAAAGAAACAGCACAGGCCAACCACTATAAAGATAGATACAGAACTCCTTGTCCTACTGTCACCAGTGTTTATTTTCGTTGCCATAACACACCTGAAATAATTTCCAGAAAATTTTAGTACATGTACATAAAGCAAAAGAGAAAGTGATATATGCTTGTGTTAGCGAGTTGTGGGCATGAGTGTTAGCACATAAGCATAAAGTATCTTCGCGACAAAAATTTGTAAAATACAATCAGGATCGAGATAATTCATTGAAGAATTACATTGGATTTCTTTCGATCATCATGCAAATTGTACGACCAAGAAACAAACAAGAGAACCAGGAAATGGACAACAATAATTCTGTGTAACGAGGTCCCAGGTATGGCCAATATATCAATAAATTGTGAAAAACTGACAAATAACTGTAACAGATCTGGATGTTGAATTTGACATATGGGTGTGTCATCCATCATTAAAAAGAAAAAAGAAAAAAAGATGTAGAAATTCAATTACAGCCCATAGAAAGAAGCATCAAACCAATAAAAGCCTTATTAGAAAGCCTCAAATGTTTTCACTTCAAAATACAAGTACATATGCATATGAATAATCAATGTTTGACAAGTGCAACAACGAAATCACTCGAGTTCAGAATTTTGAAATTGCTAAAGGAATGAACTTGAATTAACTAACATAAGCTTGTAAACGGAAAGACAGAGAACCAAATTGCAACAACTGATTCACCGGAGATCCAATCAACACTGTATGCTAAACATTTTTCCTAAAACGCAGCAATCTACAATTCTACATATCACTAAAAAAAATGACTCCGAATTTCAAATTTGGAGTATTTGCAGAGAGTTTTGCAAATCCAAGAAAAATTAACAGGAAAATAAAAATCAGACTAAAAAGGTTCAAATCTCATACCTATCGCATTAAGAGAGGGGAATACTGATTGACGATCTCGAAACTCTCTCTCTTCTCTGCGATTTAATAACAATGGTGAAACAAAGCCAGTGACAGCAAATGCCAACTGAAAACCCTAGCTTGATCCACAATGTGTATGCGATTTATCCAAGGAAAATAATTCTATGATTTCTAATTTTCCTTCGCGACGAAAGCGAAGTGTGTGTGTGTGAGATAGCTGGGTATGAACTGTGAAGTTTTGTAGATCGAACAGTCCCCTCTCTCTCTCTCTCTCACTCTAAAAATATTAGTATACTACTATATAGTCCATATCATACTGCATTAAAAAATGTAAATCCTGGTTCGTTGTTTAAAACTCCACCCACCAAAGAATACTCGTAGTCGTAGATCCGCGTTTGCTACAGTACAACGGGTGCGCATCACGCTACGCTGCCAGATTTCGGTGGGACCCAATAAAAGAAAAATACTCCAATTTAAATGTCTTGTGGCTAATGATGTCAATTTAACCCGGCCCACTACCTCGCTACCTGCACGGATTGTCCCGTCCTCGGTTCCTGCCTCCGTTGAAATGGGTATGAGATTATTCTAATTGGGTTAGAGGCGGATTTTTAAAAAAATTTAAAACTCGCAAAGTTTAATTAATAATTAATATATAAATAAATATTCTTATATTCTAATTTTTATTTTTTCTTTATTTCTTCTAATATTTTTAAATTTAGCAACTTCTTCTTCTTTTTTTTTCTTTTTTTTTTTTTTGTGATTGTTAAATATTTGACTAGACTACAAAAATTTACTTGTCTTAAATTTAATTAAGTTTAAATTTTTTATTTTTTTTTAAGAATGATGTATATCGGGTGCTTCAAACTCATCCGAATCGAATTTGGAAAAAAAAAAAAAACTATTAGTGAGACAAGTTTGGAAAAGGAATGCCCGTTCTGAACTCGTCGCGTTGACATTTCAACCGGCGTGGCATCCTTTGTTTTTGCATTATGCCAATTACATTATATGATTATTTTATAATGTTGCAATTTGTCAATATAATATTGCATTGTGTTTGGACCTTTAGTTGTAAATCAGTGGTGATGTAGGGTTTTTTTTTTAACACTAGTACATCTGGGGACACTTTATATTTACTTTTTTTAACCAGATTTAATGTGTTGGAATTTACTGTTTTCAAAAACAATAATGTGTTGAAAAATCAATGTAATGCAGTGAAAAACAAGTATAATATACTGAAACGCATGGGAGGAGCCAGGATTCATAATTGGGTTGGAGTGTGGAACTTGTATTTTGTAATTAGAATTTATTTTCTTAAAATCAATTGTAATTTTATTTTGTTTATAATATGTAGTCATAGTTTATATACCTTGATAAAATCCAAAAAATGCAACCTAAATCAATTTTTCTTCAGCAATTGTTTCAATTTTTGAATTGCTTTAAATTTTTTCCAACAATTGTTTTAATTTTTCAAAAAATCAATTTTTGGAAAAAAACTTTTTGAGTAGAGAAATATAACTTTATTACCTTGATGAAAGATTAAGAAACAAAATATTTTTAACAAAACAAAATTACTTCTATTTAGGTACTTATATATGAAGTAATCATACAATTTGTCATTTAGCAGGTAATAATTAATAATATTAGTATAAATTTTTTTTAAAGGTAAAAACTACAATAAGAATAAACCAAATTTTTTGTTTTACAAGATTTGGGCTTTTAAAATTACTTTATATATGTATATATATATTAATTATGCATTTAACTCATCATCTCCCTTAATCTATTACAAAATTAAATGATGATAATTATTGAAATTAACACTGTGATTGATGCAGCTCTCAATTAGGAGTGGGACTTGGGCAAGTTGGACGGGTTGAAGGGTTAGCTCACACCAAACCTAAGACTGTAGTACTTTAGCAAGTCCAAGTCTCAAGAAACTCATCGCATCTCATCTCGCATCATATTACACGGTTTCACGAGTTTTTCAAGTTCTTTGGGTCATTTTAAATTATACTTATTTTACTAATAAATAAACATTGAAAAAATATTAAAGTATATAACTGTCTACACTGCATAAAATAAAAATGATATAAATCAACCAAACCATGTTATTAGAATTTAAAATTTCCTACTTAATAAAATTCCTTCCAATTAAAATTTGAAAAGAGCCCAAATCTTAGATTCTTTATTATTTTATTTCCTTAACTAAAATTCAATTATTAATTTATTTTACCTTAAATTTTTAAAGCAAGTGTGTTCAAGTTAGGTGAATATCCTACTATAAATATTAAATTATCTATGAAACGTATAACATTAAAAATATTAAATTTATTTATTTTTTTATATTCCGGGTTTCTTGGGTTGAAAAAACTTTTGTCTAAATTCTGTCCAAAATAAATTCAAACTCTAAAATTTAAGTTCAATCACATCTCCAAGTCACGCCCGTAAAATTTTCAAGCGAGACTCTAGTTTCTCAGATTAGGCCCATCCAAATTCCAACCCTAATCTTAAATTTTCGAAAGGGACTCGGGTTTCCCAAGTTAGGCTTCCGAAAATGGAAGGTGTGTGACATAAACAGAAGATGGTTGATAAAGAGAGTCGGCAGAGTGGAGGGACGGTTGTAGATTATATAAATGAGGAGTGAGACGTAGGTAGGTGAGATGCACCAACTGGTGTGTGTGGTCGGCTACTATTGTGTCACGACGGTCATGTCACTGTACAACGTGGTCACCCATTTCGTTCCCTTAATAGTTTATTGTCAATGTGATTAAATAAATATATATTATTATTCCTTTTGCTCCTCAATCCTCATTTTTGGTCTATGCAAACAAATTAATTATGTCCATGAAATAACTTTGTTTTAGGTCCCAACTATATGTTGTCCTACATGTTCCCCTTGAATCAATCACAAGGCTTTAAAAAAGTCGGGCCTTAAGATTTTTGATGCAATCTATTACGTATAACTCATGACCTCAGACCCCCTAATTAGGGGATTTAGCGCACTCAATTTGTGTACGGGTACAACACAACTACGCTATAATATAACACAGATATATCAAGCAGTAACAAAATTACATCACAAATGTAATATTTATATGAAAACATACAACACATATAATCGAAATGTAGTTATTGTATTATTGATTTAAAAATATTATTAAATCTAGAATTTCAATATATTTATGTAGTTGTTGCATTCTATAATTTAAAATCATTTTATTCACTATGAAAAATTATTGCATTAAACACAAGACATATACAACAGAAATGACACGAAAAATTGGTTCGATAACTTATTCATATATAAAAGTGATATATATATATATATATATATATATATATATATATATACACACACAAATAATTTCATCAATCTTCTGATCATTTTATTGATTTTCATTATGAGAATAATTTTTCTTTAGAACATATTATGAGCACTTCAATAATTCTTTTCGGCCATGAACTAAATAATGTCATAAATTAACTTTATGATCTAAATAGGTTAAACTTAGATTGTAAATTTAATTACTCAATTTATATTACAAATTACAATACAAAAGTGTGAGTTGATTTGAAAGCCTTTGATTTAAATTATAAGGTGAATATCAAAATTTTGATATAAGCCTTTGATTTAAATTATTTGATATCATATTTTTTTGAATCCGAAACCCCCTTCCCAAAATAAAATAAATAACTGATGAGTGATAGAAAACCTCTTATTTTAGTTAATTATTTTCAATTTTTCCTGGTGAACTCCGTCATTATAATAATAATAATTTTTGAACTCCAAGTGTCTCATCAGTCCCCATTACTTGCTCCAACCCGCAGGCTTGAATCCCCTCCTCCTCTTTGAGGATGAGGATTGAGGAGGTTACCATTAGGCTACATACACAGTTTATCCGTCCTAAAGTGCTGAATTGTTGTTTGTCCGTTATGTAAGTTTTGTCTTTAGGTGATGCTGACACTCAATTTATATATAACTAATTACTTTCCCATCTGAATCCATTGTGGGACAAGATCTTTCTACAATACTCTTTCGACTTGATGTCGCCTTTCGCAACAAAGGCCACCCTTCCTTCCTAGAGAAAGACATTCAGACACGTCTGGGCTGGACGTTTAGCGTGGCATCAGATCTTTAACGGACCGTATGCTTCACGATCTGACTCAAAATTTTACATTATTAAGTGGTGTTAACACCCAACCTACACATACTCAATCACTTCCGAAATCTGATGTGGGACAAAATCTAACACCTAATCTGTTCCTTTCTTAAGCTCACCCAACTTTCCATTTAACAATTTAGGTAAATAAGTCACATAATAATATTTAATCAGTATGCACAAGTTGCACGATAAAGTCAAAGGATGTAAGAAATAGTTTTCATGTAAAAAAAATAGAAAAAAAAAATATTATTTCTTCCGTCTCATTTTTAAAATCCATTTCAGAATCTGTGACTTATAATTTTGTGAGTTGCAATTCCGTAGTGAATATTTAAAATGGCACAAAGGTAATAAGAAATTTGGTAAATGGATCATGTGTTCGGAATTTGGCATCTCACACTTGAGGACAAAACTTAAAAAGCCTTTTAAAAAATTTGCAAAAAGAAAGTACAAATATTGATCTATCTGATAGGGAAAAATAGACCTACCTTGACCTAACGATAAAAGGCAATTCAATGTTGACCAAACCTCTTCTACTTTTGAGCGATAATATTTCGTTATCAAATATAACGATTTCACTGGATAAGAATGATGATATTTCTTATCTAGGATAATGAAAGACGACGTGATTCGACAGAGTAAGGATAATCCTAGCACAATGAAGTCAAAAAGGTTAAATCATATCCCTACAAATATGGCAACGAACAGATCTCTTCTGATCTTACACAGGTGGATTTCCTCTGATCTCGCAAATAAACCAAGGGAGAGCGACTATAAGAAGGAAATCCAACCGGGCAATAAAGGTATGAGAAAAAACTCCTAAACAAAAGATACATAGTTATTATGTGATACGATTACAAGTACTAACTTGATCGTCGAAAGGTCCTTGGTTGGCACCCCACCGGTAACATTCGAAGTGACGTCCCTTTATTTTGCAGGTAAACGCTGTCGTTCCGAGTCATAAGGATTTACGTATCAACAGATGGTGCCGTCTGTGGGAACGATTAGCTCTCTGAAGAAAAAATTATCCCGACGCGACTTGGCTCGGACGGCAAGGCGAAAGTTTCCGATCATAGAAATCATCCCAAAGTCATTAGTTGACAACGGGTTTCCATGTTTTTATATAAGGACGGGACTCTACATCTTGATTACCCGTCCATTATACTGGGGGCAA